ATTTATCTTTTGAAGGCTTAAATTTCTTCATTTGTCTTTTGAAGGCTTAAATTTCTTCATTTATCTTTTGAAGGCTTAAATTTCTTCATTTGTCTTTTGAAGGCTTAAATTTCTTCATTTATCTTTTGAAGGCTTAAATTTCTTCATTTGTCTTTTGAAGGCTTAAATTTCTTCATTTATCTTTTGAAGGCTTAAATTTCTTCATTTGTCTTTTGAAGGCTTAAATTTCTTCATTTATCTTTTGAAGGCTTAAATTTCTTCATTTGTCTTTTGAAGGCTTAAATTTCTTCATTTGTCTTTTGAAGGCTTAAATTTTTTCATTTGTCTTTTGAAGGCTTAAATTTCTTCATTTGTCTTTTGGAGGCTTAAATTTCTTCATTTGTCTTTTGAAGGGTTAAATTTCTTCATTTGTCTTTTGAAGGCTTAAATTTCTTCATTTGTCTTTTGAAGGCATGGCCGCTATGGTCTTGACAGAATGTATAGCATAACAGTTAATATCACATTAATTCATTTCAAAATAGTCTGGCTTTCCTCCATTTTGGTCGGAATTTGCACCTGATTTTCTTCTTCTCGTATACCCCATCTGGTATAGTACCTTCCTCTGCTTGTGGACACTGAACAGGTTTTCTACCCATAATTAGGCCATACTAGTTCGGGTTGGACCAGTTCCTCGCAATTAAAAAACTTTTTTTTTTTTTTTTAAGGTTCCTCCCCTTCGCTCAAAGGAATCTATCAATCTGACGCATCTGTTCTCCCACATCGTTCTAGTTTGTGGAATTAATATAGTCTGGACTTGGCTTATCCTACCAAATAAATATGTCCCTTTAACTTTTCGGATCTAGTTCCGCCCTGTGGTCAACATATATATAGCAAATTGTATCAAAAATATGCATATCACTTATATTGGGCTCTCATTGAGTTTTTAGTTTCTTTCTTAATGCATAAAACCACAGATTTTTGGGTAATTTAAATTCTATTAACAAACATCTAGCCATTTCAAAAAGCAAACCCTCTATACCTCCTCCCAAAGATTATTGGCGTCTCTGCAAGAGTGTATTGAATAATTGCAAACCCTCTATACCTCCTCTATTCAACCAGTTCGAAGTCTTGACCTCCTCTACCGACAAGGCTGAATGCTTTGCTCGGAAATTCTCATCCAACTCGACGCTCGACTCTTCTGGTGTACCCATACCAGACTTCCCTCTTAGAACTGAGGCCATATTGAGTGGGTTAAACATAACCCCAACCTTGGTACTGGGCGTTATCTCCAATTTAGATCCCAACAAGGCGAGAGGTGGAGATGGGATACCAGCCATTGTCTTAAAAGAAATGCGCGCCTGAACTGGCGCCCGCCCTTTCGAAACTATACAACTACTGCCTCAAGGAATCTTGTTTTCCTGACTTCTGGAAGTCCTCTTCGATCGTTCCTGTCTTCAAGAACTCAAGCGACCCCTCTGACCCTTCCAACTACCGTCCTATCAGTCTCCTTCCCCTCTTCGGCAAAATCTTCGAAGCTCTAATCAATACCGGGGTGGTTAACCACCTCATCCAATAATCTGCTCTCAGACAAGCAATATGGTTTCCGCTTTGCCAGATCTACAGCCGATGTGCTCACAGCCATCACGGAAACAGTCTACCGAACTCTCCAAAATAACGGGGAAGCCCGAGCCGTGGCACTAGATATCTCCAAAGCATTTGATAGGGTTTGGCACGCCGGCATTCTCCGCAAGATCCAGGGTTATGGCATTACGGGTTCATTATATAACGTAATACAATCATTCCTGTCAAACCGTGAATTGAAGGTCGTTCACAACGGATTCTCCTCCAGTTCCTACCCCACGAACGCAGGTGTTCCTCAAGGCTCCATCCTAGGCCCCACTCTATTCCTTATCTATATAAATGACCTTCCTGACGCCGTAACTTCTCAAGTCGGCATCTACGCGGATGACACCACAATTTATTCCTGCCTCAAAAACAAATCCAGTCTCGCTGACAAAACTCACCTTGCCGTGCGCCTCGAAAAGGACCTCCAATCGATTGTGAACTGGGGCATGATTTGGCTGGTCAACTTCAACGCTTCGAAGACAAAACTGCTCTCTATTAATCACCACAGAAAGCCTTCCCTTCCCTCCATTATAATGTCTGACGCTCAACTTCTCTGCGGCTTCTCGGTCTCACGTTGACTGCTGACCTGAGATGGAATAAATACATCGAGTCAATTGCCTCGTCCACCGCGAGGAAAGTTGGCTCCCTGAGCCGTGATAGGAAGTTTTTCTCCCCTGAGTCGATCCTCCAGATATACAAATCCACAATTCGCCCTTGCATGGAGTATTGCTGCCATATATGGTCTGGCGCCCCTTCTGTTTGCCTCGGGGTTCTTGATAGGCTCCAGAAGCGGATATGCAATATGGTTGGCCCTGCCTTGGCGTCTCGTCTACAGTCACTTTCTCACAGACGCACCGTCGCCTCCCTCTGTCTGATCTACAAATACTTTCATGGAAATTGCTCCGAGGAACTGCATTCGCTGGTTCCCAAACTTCATGAGTTCAAGCGCCCTACGAGTCTGGCATCCCGCTCTCACCCCTTCACTGTCGAAACTCATAAATGTAGCCGTCTCTTCTACTCTAATAGCTTCATGTCTCGCACCTCTCGCCTGTGGAACTCTCTTCCCTTCTCCTGTTTCCCTGAGAGTTATAATCTCCAGCTATTCAAGTGTAATGTCAATCGACATCTCCAGTTGCCTTAATCTATCTACTACCCTCATCCTTTCTTCTATCACTCCTATCTGATCTTCCTATTTTCTGTAACCCCTTGCGTCCTAGTGGCTCCCCGCCTTGCTTGGGGTGAAATGCTTAAAAAAAAAAAAAAAAAGTGTCCTCCAACTGCGTTCAGCGACACCGTTCTTATGCGGAGAATAAGAACAGGTTTTCTCATGTTTTAATGCCTTCATTTATTTAATTTATTAGGAGGTTTTTGTAAGCATCAGAGGTAAATTCTCCACCATTATCTGTCCAAATTATTTTTAATTTTCCATGCGGGGAGTTCTCAGATAAATAGATTTTCGTAGATTGCAGATTATCAAATTTATTTTCAGAAAGTATATCATAAGCCCTGAATATTCGGCAACAAATTTTAAGTCATTTTTCCTTTAATACACGCGTCACAATATTTTAAATCATTTGGAAGTGTAATTTTCATTCCAGTGACATGTTCTTGCAATCTTTTAACATCAGAACTATTACAGTGGCTTAATATTTTATGCCAAGTTCTTAAGTCGTGCGTGGCCATCTTCGCAGACTTAATACTTTTCAGATAATACAAACGTCCATATTGCTGTATATTAAATTCAGTTCCGTCTGGATATCTTAAATTTAGGAATATATAAAGCCTTTTTTTTTAAATAAACATTCTATATCGTTTCCTCTAGTATTTCGCAGATAAATACAGGCACTACATCTCTTTGAAGCTAAATTATTAGCTCTGGTTCCGTCCAGTAACTCGATAAAATGCCAGTCGAGCTCAAAATTCGGGTAAAAATTAATAAATTTTGCTTCATCTGCACTTACATGATTTGTCGCACCCGAATTGACCGAATCACAACTACTGGCCACAGTTCTCAATCCAAACAAAAAAAAGGCATATGCACGTCCATTCGAAAAAGTTTTTTTTTTTTTTTTACAAAAGTCATTCCGTGTATAAAATTTACATTTCGCACGGACATGGCCGACATTATTACCACAACGAAAACAACATTTTTTTGGGGGGGCCTCGATTTTAGGGGGTACATATTTATCATATTGCTTCATAATTACGTAACGCAATTTTAAACTCAGTGAAAGTTACTTGTTTATCTTTTTGAGTTATAACTTTCGTGAATGGTTTGAATGAAGGTGGCAAACCCTTCAAGACCATGGTTATTTGCAGCCCATCCCAGATAGTCTCACCTGCAATTTTAAAGCATTTGTGACATTCTCTGCTAGAATAATTGGTTGCTGATTCATTTTCTTTTCTCTTTAACGCGGTTAGTTCAGTATATAAAGCAATAATTTTAGGCTTACCTTTTGACAAATAGTATTCACTCATATTTTTGTAGAACTCGGCTTCCATTGACCTTGGCCTCTCTCATTATTAAAGACAAACTCCAGTCATCCAGGAATTGTATTAATTCAGCGAAAACGGTCGCATTTTCCTAAAATCATCATGCCCCCCCCGCTCCTGGTCGACTTTGCAAAGGATGATGTCATGGAGTTTTTGTATTCTGAGGTAGCCTAAAAACTTCGTCTCCCATAATTCATATCCAGATTCATTCCCGTCAAAATAAATCGTGATCTGGACTCATAACCTATGTTAGACATTTTCATGACTGTCGTCCTCGAGTATAGAATCCAGAGGTTGGCAGTGAATATTTCGGAGACAATAGGAAAGCGTACTTTAGGTTCGCAGTAGATATCACAGCAGAGTGTAGTTCTTCCTTCTGTCGTGTTCGCCGGAGAAGTTGCCTCTGGTCCTTCCGATAGGAGAAACAAAGATGGCCGCCTTTATACACGACGAATACAGTGTTGTGCGGCTTCTGATTGGTCAACCTTCTATTGGTCGACTATAAAGGGATGAGCGAGTCAGAATGACTCGCTCACTAGTTACATGGACATATATACCCAAAAAACCATAACACCGTTCGTGTGCTTTGTTGATAATTTTCCTGTTCTGCTTTTTTATTATTTGTGCTGATTTTTTACTATGTTTTTGTTGAATATTTTGTGTAAGGTGCTTGACTCCGGGAAGTGTTTGTGTAAGAGTTTGAAGAATATTTTTCCTACCTTTGTACCTGATGTAGGACGACCGTTAGTTGGATGCTAAAGTATCAGCGACCACCACTAGATTTCTCTGCGTAATACCTATTATATCAAGTTCCTAACGTTTTGTACGTCGAACCTATTTTAGGACCGACTTAGTACAAATACAAGCCTCCACTGTGAAACCATTACATAACACTTTCTTAGATCAATTTTCTTTTTCTTTCACATTTTAAATTCTTTTTCTTTCGTATTTTTCTTCCATCATTGATTCTTTCCTCTCTTTTTTTCCTTACTTGCTTCTTCTTTGACTTGGTTAATAAACTTATTCCTCCCCGTCTTTCTTTTTATCGTCTCCTTTTCTTCACCCTCCCATTCATTCCTTCTTCCTTTTCTTATTACTGTGCTTCCTTCTTTCTTTCTTTTTTGTTTTCCTTCCTATTTTCCCCTTTTCCCTTCCTTCCTTCGTTTGATGTGCCAATCCCCCGCACGAACATGACAGTATTAACGTTTTAGCGGCGACAACTGGGAACGGTTCTTTTGTACGATTTGAAAAACAAAAGTGGAGCTATTTTCGTTTAAAATTAGACAATCCATATAAATACCGTCGGCGTTAACAAAGCTTAGCCTGGCGTGACACAAGGACAGCTTAAAACGAGCACGCCTACCAGCGATAAAATGACGCCTTCTTGATATTTACTAAGCAAAAGGCAATGAAAATGGGGCATCTGGCAACGATTGAACCTACACAAACTAGTAATTTCCTTATAATTATATTGGCTAATTTGCTTATATATATATATATATATATATATATATATATATATATATATATATATATATTCATGAATTATTCATACAAAAACAAATACAAGGTTAATGATTTAATTGGCGAGAAATCCATCGTCGCGAACAATTCAAATAATATACAAAAACCCCGAACCTGTTATGAATGAAAAGATCCTTGTTTTTATAAATTTCTGTTGCATTAGTTCTTATTTTTACTACAAGCTTTCGTCTGTTCCTACAGACATCTTCAGGTATGGAATAGATGTTGTTCTTGTTTTTACTCTCAGTAATAAGAAGACAACGAAAATATATGTATTGTTGTATCCGAAAAATGCTATTAGAAATGAGTTATTGTTTTTGGAGCGTGCAGTTGCAACGCTGAGTTTGATGTTAAATTTTACAATTGTGCGTTCTTGTACAAATATGGTGATAAGTGAATTCTTTTTTACTGGTAAATTTTTTGTCAAAGTGGCATGAACTATATTGTTCAATAATTACAGTAATGTCGCACTTATTACCCAAAAGTTGCATTTGGATCAGTTATTTTAATTTCAATAAAGGTGCAATTAATTTACAAATTCATGAATTATTCATACAAAAAACAAATACAAAGGTTAATGATTTAACTGGCGAGAAATCCATCGTCGCAAACAATTCAAATAATATACAAAAACCCCGAACCTGTTATGAATGAAAAGATCCTTGTTTTTATAAATTTCTGTTGCATTAGTTCTTATTTTTACTACAAGCTTTCGTCTGTTCCTACAGACATCTTCAGGTATGGAATAGATGTTGTTCTTGCTTTTACTCTCAGTAATAAGAGGACAACGAAAATATATGTATTGTTGTATATATATATAAGACATTGAGTCTGGAAGAAACCTCAACAGAATGCAGAAAGCACTGGACGGCCGTATCGTCCTTTATTTGGGATTCATCATCAGTGTGCATCCACTACCGAGAACTGAAACACGGACAGTTACGCTATCAGGCAAAGCTTGGAGAGTAATTATACATTCTTATTGAGCAATGTAATGTCCAATAGTTTTATGAAAACCTCGAAGAAATCCAGTAATATATCTTTAATCATTTCTATGATACAACGGTTCAAATCTCAATCTAACAAATGAACATTTTTGGTATTGCAACTATTAAATTCATATATATATATATATATATATATATATATATATATATATATATATATAATGGATACAGGGAAGAATTCACCTTCCTACAACCAAACATATTCAAACAGAAAAAAGTATAAATAGATTCAATTTTTAAAAACTAAACCAGTTTGTCTGATGTTCGCAAATGCGTGAAACCTAGGTCCACAAATTCATAACCATACGACTGATTACGTTTGCTCTGTCACTGATATTGAGTACATTCCAATAAGTACTGCGCATATATATATATATATATATATATATATATATATATATGTGTGTGTGTGTGTGTGTGTGTGTGTGTGTGTGTGTGTGACTCTCCCGTCGTATTCGACGTATGAGGGTCAGCAACTCAGTTCCTAGGAACCGACATCCAGACACCAGCATACATGATTTGATTATAGTGGTGAAGGCTTTGTGCCCAATCAACCACACTTTTTGAAAGGCTGAGTACAGAGACCTGGTGCCTGGTGCAGTACGTGCCACAAAGTTCCCCAGACGACCCTCAACAGATTTTAAATTCATAGTTGTCCATCTCCTAGACCAGTTGCCATCCAAGGCTATAGAACCCAGTGTGCCTTGCTAATTACCCATAGCAATCCGAGCCTCTACTCCACCGTGCCTCGTCTCTCTCTCTCTCTCTCTATATATATATATATATATATATATATATATATATATATATATATGTGTGTGTGTGTGTGTGTGTGTGTGTGTGTGTGTGTGTGTGTGTGTCTGCGTATGAAAGTATTTGTAGAAAAACACAGGGAAACTCCGTTGCGGCGGTGAGTGTGTGATTCTTATACGATAAGAATATATATTTTATATATATATATATATAAGAATTTATATATATAATATATATAAATAATATATATATAATATATATAAATAATATATATATATATATATATATATATATATATATATATATATGTAGTATATTGACTATGAAAAGGGCTCAGTGTTATGTAAATATAAAAATGGACACTGAGGTCATCACCGATTGGCGACAGTCAGTCTCATGCTTAAACGCAAACTCCAGCTCATATGTGTTGAGTGTTGGCTCAATTATTTATATATGCTAAACAATACACATGGCCTGAAGATTGTGTTTAAGGATGATTGTCACCACTAGGTCTAAACCTCAGTGTCCACACACACAAAACACACACATACATATATATATATATATATATATATATATATATATATATATATATATTATTATTATTATTATTATTATTAATATTTTAATCAGTTCGCACCAACCAAGGCGATATTGCCACTTATGCGTAATACTAAACGGGAAACTCTACTCATGTTAAACATTCCTTGTTTTGGAGATCATAATGATTAATTATAAAGTCTTACTAATTAACTCATAATTGGGGGAGAGAGAAATATGAATCCACACAAAAAGTTCTGTTCAAAATGCCTGGGAGGAGTAAGAATCAGATGATAGGCAAATATATACATATATATATATATATATATATATATATATATATATATATATATATATAGAGAGAGAGAGAGAGATAGATAGATAGATAGATAGATAGATAGATAGATTAAATATCGGGAGGAGATATTTTATCAATGTCGACTCAACATTGCCGACACACCACCTTCCAAAACCAGGAAAACTCATCACCAGCCTACTCAGCGCAAGGCCAACGAAACGCTGGCGACGAATTCATAGCTTCAGACCGGTTTTGGCTGTTATAGTGTGCACATCTCTTCGATCGGCTTTGAGTCGTAGATATTTTGAATGTTTGGCCGTTTGTATTCGTGATTAATTAGTCACAACCGCCTATTTGGCTGACTGGTGTTTAATTTTCAAGCCAAGACTAATAACAGTGCGGAAGCAGTAAATAAAAGATTTGCCCACAATGCAGAATATGCAGATTCGGTATGGGGCTGTCTTTGAGGAGATTGTCCAGCATTCACTGCCATATAAGAGGACAGATACCATGTAACAATTCCGTAGTCTTTTCAACATTTTTAACGATTTTGTTTTCTTTTTCTTAATACTCAGCTTTTGGAAGGAACCTTTGGTAAGCCGTAGAAAATGAATAACTTTTTGACTCTAGTGTATATCGAATCTATGTCTAAAATTTCGGACACTAGTGGAAACCTGTCTAACTTTCTGTATGGATTCATCTTTCTCTCTCCCCCAATTATGGGTTAATTAGTAAGACTTTATAATTAATCATTAAGATCTCCAAAACAAGGAAAAGTATTTTCAGAACCTAAAAATTATATTCTGGCTTTAAATAACCTGCGAAGGGTTGATGAGCCGTACAAAATGAATAATTCAATCAATATATGTCTACATTTTTCACTCACCTGTAAAGCATTTATGATTGTTAATTTGAAGCAGATCTTTGTGACTAGTGAAAACTAGTTAGATATCTACATTTTTTTAATTTAGATTAAACTGGAACTATATGTACCTTTGTTTGTTGGGGTTTTTTTTCTCACTTAAGAGCAAGCTGGATGTATTTATAAAATGGAGTATCTAAAATGACGAGAGGGGACATTTCATCACCGCCGACTCAACACCGGCCAACCGATATTGGCTGTTATGGTGTGCACATCTCTTAGATTGGCTTTGAGTCGTAGAGATTTTGAAAATTTGGCTGTTTATTTTCGTAATTAACTATAAGTTGACCAAAAAAGTTCTGTCCGTTTTTTGATTAGTCATTGAATGAAGTTGAAATATATACAAAATGCGTGTAGCAATTGTTTTCAAATTCAGACAGCTGGAAGTAGGAACATCAGACGTTATAAAAAACACGCGCACTGTGCCCGGCCATCAGTTATAAGCCGGACAGCTGTGAGAAGGATGGAAGTGTCTAGAGATCTCATTCGGGGCTGTTTGCTTTACAACTTCAAAGTGGGCTTATCAGCAGCTGCATCAAGTCGCCGCATATGTCAAGCGTTTGGGGATAGTGCTGTGGATGAACGTACTGCAAGGCGTTGGTTTCGAAAATTCAAGGCGGGAGATTTGTCCCTCCATGATGAGCCTCGCAGTGGACGACCACAGGTCTTGAATGACGGAGTCTTGAAGGCGGCCATTGAAGACGACTGTAGTCTAACGTGTGGTCAACTTGCAAGACAAGTTCAACGTTTCCGATGAAACAGTTAGACTTCACCTGCACCACCTAGGTAAGACGTACAAACTGAGCAAGTGGGTTCCGCAAACACTGTTGGAGGTCCATAAGGGACAACGAGTGGCAGCTTGCGTATCGCAGCTTTCTAGCCACCGTACCGCATACTTATTCAATCGAGTGCTTACCTGTGATGAAAAATGGGTTCTGTACGAAACTCCCAAGCGTTCCAGACATTGGTTGTCTCCTCAGGATGCTGTCCCTCACACCGCAAGACCGCCTATGCACCCACGCAAGATTATGCTTTGTGTCTGGTGGATAGGTCGTCAAGTGGTCTATTATGAACGGGCCGAACGGTCACTGGAGACCTATACCCGTAGCAATTGAAACGTGTGCAACAGGCATTGCGCAAGAAGGATCCAGCACTGGTGAATCGCAAAGGTGTGCTTTTCCTCCATGACAACACCAGGCGGCATGTCACGCGAGTGGTCAGTGATACCATACAGCAACTTGGGTGGGAGACTTTGTGCCATCCACCTTATTCACCTTACCTTGCGCCATCCGATTACCACCTTTTCCACTCCCTGGATAATCATCTCCGTGGGAAATCCTTCACCAATGAAGCAGACTTGCAAAAAGCCCTCACGGACTTCTTTGCGTTAAACCCCCCCGAGTTCTACCGCAAGGGCATTGAACAGCTGGAGACATGTTGGTAGAAAGTGCTGGATGCCGATGGCGATTACTTCGAAGACTAAATATAAGTTACACATCCTGTGAAGCGTTTTCTTTTTTTTCCTTTAAAAACAGACAGAACTTTTTTGGTTACCATATAGTTATAACCGCCTATTTAGCTGACTGGGGATTGAGAAGTCCTAAATATGGAGATTCGGTACGGGGCTGAAAAGGTGCAAAAAAGGGGGGATTAATAGTTCGAATAATTAAAAATCGAATAAACAAAGAGCTAGGAAGAAAAACACAATCAATTGTGGAAAGAGATATAACAGCTACAGGATTTCAGAAAGATTTAAAAAAAAACATAAACAAAATATGGAACAATTGCCTCTCTGTCCCTTATAGCATTATCTCTTATCTCTCCGTCTCTATCTTTTCTCTCTCGGTCTCTCTCTCTCTCTCTCTCTATGTGTGTGTGTCTCCCCTTATCTTTTTATCACTTCTCTCCCTATGTTTTATTTCTTGATCTCTCTGGAAGTCTCTTTTATCTCTTATCTCTCTCTTCTCTCTCTTCTCTCTCTTCTCTCTCTCTCCGTCTCTATCTCTCTCTCTCTCTGTCTCTCGCTTATCATTTTATCATTTCTCTCTCCGCTTATCTCTTTATCACATTTCTCTCTGTCTCTCTCTCTCTTATCTCACACAGTCTCTCCCTCTCTCATCTCTCTCTGCCTCTCTGTTATCCTTGTCTGTCGGTCTCTCTCTCTCCCCCTCTCTCTCTCTTATCTTTTATCTCGTACCTCTCTTTGTCTTTCTCTCTCCTCTCTTTCCGTATCTATCTTCTCTCCCCCTCTCTCTCTCTCTTATCTCTTATCTCTTACCTCTCTTTGTCTTTCTCTCTCCTCTCTCTCCGTCTCTATCTTCTCTCCCCGCTCTCTCTCTGTTTCTCCCTTATCTCTTCATCACTTTTCTCTATGTCTCTTTTCTCTCTCTCTGTCTCTCTCTTATCTCTTATGTCTCATTGCCTTTCTCTCTCCTTTCTCTGTCTCTCATATCTCTTTCTGTCTCTCCCTTATCTCACTTCTCTCTATGTCTCTCTCTCTTACCTCTGTCTCTCTTATCTCTTTATCTCTTGTCTCTCTCCGCCTCTCTCTTCTCTCTCTCCGTTTCTCTCTCTCTCTTTGTGTATGTGTTTCCCCTTATCTCTTTATCACTTCTCTCTCTATGTCTTATTTCTGATCTCTCTCTGGCAGTCTCTTTTTTCTCTTATCTCTCTCCGTCTCTCTCTCTCTCCGTCTCTATCTCTCTCTCTGTCTCTGTCTCTCGCTTATCATTTTATCATTTCTCTCTCCCCTTATCTCTTTATCAATTTTATCTCTGTCTCTCTCTCTCTTATCTCTCACAGTCTCTCCCTCTCTCATCTCTTATCTCTCTCTGCCTCTCTGTTATGCTTGTCTGTCGGTCTCTCTCTCTCTCTCTTATCTCTTATCTCTTACCTATCTTTGTCTTTCTCTCTCCTCTCTCTCAGTCTCTATCTTCTCTCCCCCTCTCTCTCTCTTATCTCTTATCTCTTACCTCTCTTTGTCTTTCTCTCTCCTCTTTTTCCGTCTCTATCTTCTCTCCCTCCCCTCTCTCTCTTACCTCTTATCCTTACCTCTCTTTGTCTTTCTCTTCTCTCTCTCCGTCTCTATCTTCTCTCCCCCTCTCCCTCTCTCTTATCTCTTATCTCTTACCTCCCTTTGTCTTTCTCTCTCTCTCTTTCCGTCTCTATCTTCTCTCCCCCTCTCTCTCTCTTATCTCTTATCTCTTACCTCCTTTTGTCTTTCTCTCTCCTCTCTTTCCGCCTATATCTTCTCTCCCCCTCTCTCTCTCTCTTATCTTTTATCTCGTACCTCTCTTTGTCTTTCTCTCTCTCTCTCTCCGTCTCTACCTTCTTTCCCCCTCTCTCTCTTATCTCTTATCTCTCTCTATCTCTTTGTCTTTCTCTCTCCTCTCTTTCCGTCTCTATGTTCTCTCCCCCTCTCTCCCTCTTATCTCTTACCTCTCTTTGTCTTTCTCTCCTCTCTCTCCTCCGTCTCTAGCTTCTTTCCCCCCTCTCTCTCTTATCTCTTATCTCTTACCTCTCTTTGTCTTTCTCTCTCCTCTCTTTCCGTCTCTATGTTCTCTCCCCCTCTCCCTCTTATCTCTTACCTCTCTTTGTCTTTCTCTCTCTCTTTTCCGTCTCTATCTTCTCTCCCCCCTCTCTCTCTTATCTCTTACCTCTCTTTGTCTTTCTCTCTCCTCTCTTTCCGTATCTATCTTCTCCCCCCCTCTCTCTCTTATCTCTTATCTCTTACCTCTCTTTGTCTTTCTCTCTCCTCTCTTTCCGTATCTATCTTCTCTCCCCCCTCTCTCTCTCTTATCTCTTATCTCTTACCTCTCTTTGTCTTTCTCTCTCCTCTCTCTCCGTCTCTATCTTCTCTCCCCCCTCTCTCTCTGTTTCTCCCTTATCTCTTCATCACTTTTCTCTATGTCTGTTTTCTCTCTCTGTCTCTCTCTCTTATCTCTTATGTCTCATTGCCTTTCTCTCCCCTTTCTCTGTCTCTCATATCTCTTTCTGTCTATCCCTTATCTCACTTCTCTCTATGTCTCTCTCTCTCCTACCTCTGTCTCTCTTATCTCTTTATCTCTTGTCTCTCTCCGTCTTACTCTTCTCTCTCTCTGTCTGTCTCTCTCTCTTTGTGTATGTGTCTCTCCTTATCTCTTTATCACTTCTCTCTGTATGTCTTATATCTTATCTCTCTCTCTGGCAGTCTCTTTTATCTCTTATCTCTCCGTCTCTATCTTCTCTGTCTCTATCTCTCTTCTCCCTCCGTCTCTCTCTGTCCCTCTCTCTCTCTATTTGTGTATATGTCTCTCCTTATCTCTTTATCACTACTCACTCTATGTCTTATATCTTATCTCTCTCTCTCTGTCTCTATCTCTCTTCTCCCTCCGTCTCTCTCTCCATCTCTCTCTCTCTCTATCTCCGTCTTTCTCTCTCTCTCTGTATGTGTCTCCCCTTAGCTCTTCATCATTTCTCTCTCTATGTCTTATATCTAACTCTCTCTCTCTCTGGCAATCTCTTTTATTTCTTCTCTCTCTCTGTCTCTATCTTCTCTCTGTCTCTGTCTTTCTTCTCTCTCCGTCTCTCTCTCTCCCCGTCTCTCTCTCCGTCTCTCTCTCTCTTTGTGTATGTGTCTCCCCTTATCTCTTTATTACTTCTCTCTCTATGTCTTATATATTATCTCTCTCTCTCTGGCAGTCTCTTTTATCTCTCCGTCTCTCTCTCTCCGTCTCTTTCTCCCTCTCTCCCTCCCTCTCTCTTTGTGTATGTGTCTCCCCTTATCTCTTTATCACTTCTCTCTGTATGTCTTATATCTTATCTCTCTCTCTGGCAGTCTCTTTTATCTCTTATCTCTCAGTCTCTATCTTCTCTGTCTCTATCTCTCTTCTCCCTCCGTCTCTCTCTGTCCCTCTCTCTCTCTATTTGTGTATATGTCTCTCCTTATCTCTTTATCACTAGTCACTCTATGTCATATCTTATCACTCTCTCTCTCTGTCTCTATCTCTCTTCTCCCTCCGTCTCTCTCTCCATCTCTCTCTCTCTCTCTCCGTCTTTCTCTCTCTCTCTGTATGTGTCTCCCCTTAGCTCTTCATCACTTCTCTCTCTATGTCTTATATCTAACTCTCTCTCTCTCTGGCAGTCTCTTTTATCTCTTCTCTCTCTC